AGTAGCAAGCAGGTCTTGAGGATAGGCTGGGGATGGAGAGAACACACACATAATTTCAGTCTTTCTAGTTTATGAGACCAGAAAGCGACTCATTTTCTCTCCCTGCACACAAATTGACCCCCCCCCCCATGGCATCCAGCTGAAATTCAATTACAAGCAGAATTGATTTTTTTCCCAGTTGGAAACATGTGTAATCTTATTTGCTTTCAGCTCTGTTACCCAACCTGAGTCTTGCCTGGGGTTTGTTCTCCCATAGCACTCCTACTTCTAGGATGAAGCGTTCCTCTTAGGCCTCGTTAGTCCTGTGTGTGGTGTGCAGGTTTATCACCCACTAGACCAGAAGTCGTTTGAGAGCAGGGACCATGAGTAAGTACTCAATAAGTGTCTGTTAACTATTGAAGAAATGAGATCTAAATGATACTTAACATAAGAAAGCTTTCCAGGGACTTCCCTGGTGGTCCAGTGGTTATAAATGTGTGCATCAGGATTAGATCCCTGGCTGCAGGATCCCACACACCTGCCTTGCAGATGGTTGTTGCAACTAGAAAAAAAGTCCACACACCGGAAGGAAGACAAAGATTTCCAGAAACAAAACTATTTTAAAAATAATTTACATTAAATTTACATAACAGAAGTTTCTCTGCTCATCACTCAAACCAATGGCCAAGTAAGAGCGGAAACACCTATTGTGATGGTGTTAGGACCACACAATTTTATTCCTTGGCTTAAGTATTGCCAGGCAATAATAATAATAATGCCGTGTAATAATACCATATAAAAATAAAAGTTGCTATTAGGGGTTAGAATGAAGCACTTCACATATGTTTTACACAAGTTGCTGTATAGTGATTTTTTTTCATTATTTCACAGGACATGAACAGGCACAGAAAGGTTAAGAAATTTGCAAAAGGTCCTCCAGCTAGCGTTGGCAACTGAGATTTGAACCCAGACAACTGCACTCTGGAGTTCCCCTACCCTTAAAGCACCGCTTCGGACTGCATGAACACACAGCTCTGCTGAAGACTTACAGGTTGTCTGAGACAAATCAGTCTTTTTGGAGGCTCCCCTGGTGGCTCAATCGGTAAAGAATCTGCCTGCAGTGCGGGAAACCGGGGCGCAACCCCTGGGTTGGGAAGACCCCCTGGAGAAGGGCATGGCAACCCACTCCACTATTCTTGCCTGGAGAACCCCATGGACAGAGGAGCCTGGTGGGCTACAGCCCATGGGGTCGCGAGGAGTTGGACACGACTGAACGACTTTCACACACAATCTTTTTTAGGGGAAGGGGACTTTGCCACCCTGTATACCAATCCTTCCCACCTTGTTACCAATCCTTTTTTTATGGGGTATGCCCTTAGACGAAAGCAAGGGAGAAGAAATAGACTAGTTGAACTATTTTCAGACATGTAGAGGAGTAAATGAACAACTCCGGCAATAATACCCTTTTACCGATCACCTAGTAACGCGGGAATAACACCCTTTACCTGGCACCGAAATGTTACCCCCTCCTCTCATTTTTGTTAAGGCCTCGCTTTATTTGGAAACTCTTAAAATAAGCGGTCATATGATTCAAACAAGCAGCGGCGCGCCCCCTCCCCGGCGGCCGGGCGCAGCTGTCCGCGCCTCCCCCGCCCGCATTCCAGCCCTCTGAGGTCACGGGCCGCCGCCGCCTCTCCTGATCTGCCCGCCCGCCCGGCCCGGGGTAGGGACGCCCGGGCCCGGCCGCTCCGCTGCTCCGGCCGCGCGTCCTCTGGTTGCCCGGCCCTCGCCGGGCCTCCGCGTGCGGCGCCGCCGGCCCCAGCTGCGGGCCTCCGCCCTCGACGCGGGGGAATGCGCGGCGTGCCGGGACTGGGGAGACAGGAAGCGAGGCGCGCGGGCCCCGTGAGCGCGCCGCGGCGCGGGCTGGAGTGCGGGCGCGGCTGCGGCGGCCGCGCGGCGGGGCTCCGCGGGGCGGGCCGCTGAGCGGGTCGCGCGGCCCCGAGGATGCGGCCGCGGGAGCAGGTGAGGGCGCGGGGCCCCGGCCTGTGAGGCGCGGGGGGCGGCGGGGGCCGAGCGCGGGGCAGTGTCCGCCAGCCGGCACCCCCAAGTCCGGGGAAGACGCGTCCCGGCTGCCCAGACCCGAGGCAGGGGCGAGCGTAACAAAGAGAAAACTCTTCCAGGCTCTCTCCCGTCTACTTGAGGCTTTTCCAGCGGGGTCTTGAACTTGTATTCGGAGCTCCTCGGTTGTGAGCGGCTTAATTCTGCATCGGGGCTTTAAAAGTCTTAGGCATGTTTGTACCTCTCGGAATATTAAGTGCGAGATTTGCCAGATAACTGGCGAGAAGGAGAGGAGCGAAGGACTGTTTCGTGGTGATGGCTTGTTTTGGTTTTGGAGTAAAGAGTGTTTACTCTGGAAAAAAAGAATTCTTGGGTCTGCAAATTCCGACTTGTGATTTCTGCAAATCCTGATTAGAGTGGCTGCTTTTGGCATGCTCGTCTTATTTTCTTTTTTGCTGAGAAAGCCTTATAATAGCGTGTGCTCGCAAACGCGTTCAAAATACTCCGTGTGCGCCAGGTGACAACCGCTGTATGCCTAAGGGTTGCTGACAGATTTTTTTTTAACTTTGGGATATGATAGAAATTTTATTCTGAAAGTAGTTGTCTGTTGTTTCCAGCACATTTTATTCTCGAGTTCTACGCATAAATGTGTTCAGGACAAATATGCGTTTGACTTAATGCTATATATCTGTACATTATTCTAAGAATACACTTTTAGAGATTGTTTTATTTGAAAGCATTATTAGTAAAATTACACGTAATGAGGACTCTAGCAACAAAGCGGAAAACTACAGGATTCAGAATTTAAAAGTGTATTTGGAAGCTTCTGAGAAGGTTTGTAAAAAAATTAAAATGAATAAATATCTGTCTACTTTTTGAATATTTGAACATGATTAATATATACCTATTTTTTTTAAATTTCAAAACAAAGTGACTTTGTAGAGAAACAAAATATCTTAGTATATTTTCCTGCAAAAGCTAATTAAGAATGTTTAGTAATCAGTTAAGACTTCAGACCCAGCTGCCTTTCCAATTATTTCCTATTATTTCACACCTGAAACAGGCAGCCCCCGCCAAAGCATCTTCAGTTTCTACTCCTCTGTTCAAACATTCCTAACTTTATGACACTACTTGGTAGCAAATACTGTATATAACTGAAAACTAAGTGTGTAAATTGTTTCACACACACATACCCCTCTTTTTCAATGACTTTTTATAACAGCTACCAAAATAAAAGAGAGAAAACATTGGCTTGTCTTTATCCTTGATGCAGTGAAACATTTCAGACTCTGGGACAGCACAGTTTTACTCTGCTTCATCAGAGCTTAAGTTGATAATTAAGTTATATAATGTAGTATCTACTGCCTTCAAGGCATAATTCTATATTTGCAGTGAAGAGAATACCATGTTTGAACATCCCCAATACAAATTTTCATCTTTCCTCTGTACAACTTTAACTGTTTCCAGTTACCATAATTTGTATGAAAAATTTAAATTCATTACCTTATCTCTTGATAGGGTATTTAGCATATCTATAAGAGTATCTATAATCTTTTAAAATTTACACTCATGGCTCATAGGCACTTTTCTAGTTGAAAGCTTATTATTTCAAGTTTTCACTTCTTGATTTTTTTTTTAACTTTTCATTTTGTCTCAACGATCTATTTGGTTTATACCCTGACACCAACAAGAGCACTGAAAACTTCAGGTAGAGCCCATGCCTTTTCATAATGTCTATTTTCTATTCCCTTCTTCCGTAAGGTGCTTTTACCTTACAGAGGTACACAGCAAATGCTGTTAAATCAACACAGTGGCTTATGCACTTCTAGTTTTCTTTTTTCCTCTGGCCTTTTCCCTCTATTTCTTGTTTTTAACTTTTATTTTTCTGGCTATCTGTGCATAACCAGAGCTCAAACAAACAAAACCCAAACCCAGACAACGAAAGCAGAAAGTCGTGGTTGGGTCTTTATTAGAGATACAGCCATGTATGTAATTAGAACATGCTTGTAATCTACTTAAGAGCAAGGACGGCTTAGGAATTGATTCCTTTTAGACTTTCTGTGGGCTTCCCTGGTAGCTTAGACGGTAAAGGATCTACCTGCATTGGAGAAGACCTGGATTCGATCTCTGGGTTGGGAAGATTCCCCAGAGAAGGGAATGGCAACCCACTCTAGTATTCTTGCCTGGAGAATTCCATGGACAGAGGGGCCTGGTGGGTACAGTCCATGGGGTTGCAAACAGTCAGTCACGACTGAGCGACTAACATGAGCTTCCCTAGTGGGAAGCTCAGATGGTAAAGTGTCTGCCTGCAATGCGGGAGCCCTGGGTTCAATCCCTGGGTTGAGAAGATCCCCTGGAGAAGGAAGTGGCAACCCACTCCAGTATTCTTGCCTGGAGAACCCCACGGATGGAGGAGCCTGGCAGGCTACAGTCCATGGGGTCGCAAAGAGTCGGACACGACTGAGCGACTTCACTTTCACTTTTAGACTTTGTGTAGGGCTTCCCTGGCGGCTCAGCTGGTAAAGAATACGCCTGCAATGCGGGAGACCTGGGATGGGTCGCTGGGAGAAGGGAACGGCCACCCACTACACTATTGTGGCCTGGAGAATCCATGTACAGTCCATGGGGTCGCAAAGAGTCGGACACGACTGAGAGACTTTGACTAGACGTCTCTAAAGGCCCACTTTGGGGCTTCCCCGGTGGCGCTAGAGGTAGAGAACCCGCCTGACTAATACAGGCAGACCTAAGAGACAGGGCGTTCGACCCCTGTTGGGAAGATTCCCCTGGAGGAGGAAATGGCAACCCACTCCAAAATACTTGCCTGGAGCATCCCATGAACAGAGGAGCCTGGCGGGCTCCAGTCCTGGGGTCGCAGAGTCCAACAGGACTGCAGCGACTTAGCACGCACACCCAAAGGCCCACTCCGCCGCCTTGTCCTCAGGGACGCAGTACACTTCAGTGAGATGGAATTAATAGCGTTAGGTCTGCCAAAGCCTAGTGTAAGAGCTAAACGCTGGTTCTCCTCATCTCCGGCCCCCACCCCGGCCAGCCCCGAGAGCCCGTCACCTCTGGGGCTGAGGCGCAGTGGGGGAGGCGAGACCGAGAAGGAGTCTGGGCTCGGCCCCCAGCTCAGCCCGCCCCGCTGTGAGGCCGAGAGAGCGCCGCTTCTCCCGAGGGCCGCCTTCCGTGTCCGCTGGCCGAGAGAGAGGCCTGGGGGCTCCGCGCGGCGGTTCCCGGCCCCGGCTCAGGGCAACCGGCTGCGACCGAGCCCCAGGCTGCGTCCTCGGAGGCAGCCGCTATTCAGAAGACGACGGAGGGCGGGGGCCGTCCCGGGATTCTGGAGATCTCTGCGATTTTGTCGACTTGTTGAAGGGGGGAAAAAAAATTACAAAAAAATCCTGTCAGTGTCAAAGTTCCAAGCTGCCGCTCTAGGCCGTTTTGCTTCCGCCCAGGAATTAACACACCAACTGGTGTTCTTTAAAAAGTTTTACGTCACGTGTTTGGGGTATGGGTGGGGCAGCCCTGAGGTAAACGGACCCGGCTCAAACCGTACCCTCGTCTGCTGGGGCTCTAGCCGGGCCCTTTAAGCGTTCCCTCCGGCGTCTGCCCGAGCCTGTCCTCTCTCCTTGAGCGTCCGTTCGGAAACGCAGCGGCAGGGCGAAGGGTTCCGGCGCCGCCGAGGCCGCCGGTTGCCCGGGCAACGCCGCCTGCTCTTCCGGGAGCGCGACGTCGGAGCCCTCGGCGCTGCGGGCCTCACGGGCTCGTTGAGCGTCTTGCTCACGTCCTTATCTCAGGATGGAGTTCGAAGCCTCGTCCCGCTCCTCCTCAGGGCTGTGGCGCCGCCTCGGGGAAGGCTCACCGCCTCTAGACGTCCCCACCCAGAGACAGGCGCGGGCCAGGCTTCTTAGAGCTGACAGGCTTCTGCTTGGTAACCCGGTCACCGGCGCGTGTAGAGTCTTACAGTTTGTTTATAAATAAATCGAAATGGTGACGTAAATATTTGTAAACTGGGAAGTTCTGCAAATACCTGTTAAGTGTTCACTTCATTTGAACCTCACAGCTGCCACATGTGACAGAGGATGATTCCATTCGGGTTCGGCGCTAATTTGCCTAATTGGGACTTGAACGTAGCTCTTTTGGAGGTTTTTTTTTTTTTTTAAATTGAACGTAGCTCTTTTGAAGGGTTTTTTTTTTTTTTTTTTGACAAGTAACTCACTTAAGGGCTAAAGATACAGTTGCAGTATTAGGGAGCCAAAAAGAGTTACCTATGAAAAAAAAAAAAAACAACTAAAACTTTAAAATAGAAAGAGGACCACTAATGCTCGCTACTAAATTTGGGGCTATAGTTGTGCCAGCCCTCGTCTCCTTTAATCCTGAAGGTAGCCACATCTGGTGGCCACTATTTGTGGAATTGAATGAGGGGTGGAGTCTGACCCGGGGCCTAACACACCTCTGCTGTGAAACTTCTCCAGCCCCTCCCAGATCCTGTTAAGGCCTTCTTTTTTCCCAGACGGGAGGGAAAGCTTGTCGCTCAGATACAGCTTTTATTGATTTTTATTTTTAAAAGCAAAGCCGGAGTTGCTGTCGCCCCTGTAACCAGCGTCTCTCTCTCCCCAGCACTGGCGTGGGAGCACCCATCACCTGGTCTTTGGAGACTCTGTTGCTTTTTGATGGCAGCAGCTGCTGGGTGAGCAGTCGGAGACTCCGCGGTGCTCCTCCGGTCGGGACGGGGTCGGTTTCTCTAGTCATCACCACCCCTGGACTGCTGGCTGTGCTGTTCGCTTTTTACCCCTCCAGCTCTTGAAGGGAGAAGAAGATGCCGCTGCCATTTGGATTGAAACTAAAACGCACGCGGCGCTACACCGTATCCAGCAAGAGCTGCCTAGTTGCCCGGATCCAGCTGCTCAATAATGAGTTTGTAGAGTTCACGCTGTCCGTGGAGAGCACTGGTCAGGAGAGCCTGGAGGCTGTGGCCCAAAGACTGGAGCTGCGGGAGGTAAGCCCCCCCCCCCCAAAAAAAAACCCTGCAGGCTTCTTCCGCCGAATTTTGCTCCTTATTTCTAAGCTACTATAAATGCATGCTGGCTGTGTCTTCTCAAAGTACCTCCCTGGCCAGGATAATCTGGGGCTTCCCTGCTGGCTCAGATGGTAAAGAATCTGTCTGCAATGCGGGAGACCCAGGTTCCAGGCTTGGGTGGGGAAGATCCCCTGGAGGAGGGCATGGCAAGCCACTCCAGTAGTCTTGCCTGGAGAATCGCCTGGACAGAGGAGGCTGGAGGGCTGCAGCCCCAAAGGGTCGCGAAGAGTTGGACACCACTAAAGAGGTTTAGCACACAGGCACTAGGATAATCTGAGTTGAGCCTGTGAGCCCCTCTCCCTGTGAGGAAGGAATGAAACTGAGCAAAGAGACCTTTTCTTGGGGATGCCCCTTAAAAGAATTAACAATGCCTGAGATGGTTGGATGGCATCACCGGCTCAATGGACATGAGTTTGAGCAAGCTCTGGGAGTTGGTGATGGACAGGGAGGCCTGGCGTGCTGCAGTTCATGGGGTCTCAAGGAGTCGAACACCACTGAGTGACTGAACTGAGATTAGGTTTTCCTTACACATGTATTGACTTATTTGGCTGTGCCAGGTCCTAGGTGCGGCATGCATGATCTTTTAGCTGCCATGTGTGGGATCTAGTTCCCTGGCTAGGGATGGAGCCCCGGACCCCTGGGTTGGGAGTGTGGAGTCTTAGCCACTGGATCACCAGGAATATCCCCACAATGTCCGAGTTTTGAAAATGTTTATATGTTCTCCCAAAATGTAAACCAAAATGAAACGGGAATGCATGTTGGCCATCTGCATGAAGACGCCATCTTGGAAATGGATCCTTTCAGCCCCCAGGCATCCGGCAGATACCTAGGCAAATCCTGCCCAAATTCTTGACCCACAGAACTGGCAGCAAGATAAAATAGTTGTTTTAAGCCACTTAAAAAAAAAAAAAAGGAAAAAAAGAAAAAAGGAATGCATTTTGGAGTGTCCAAGTAGTTCTGACCTTCTGGTATTGATCCCACATGCGTCATCCTGATGTAGCAGAGTTTACCGACTTCATTCATTTGTTCAGCATTCTTTTGCACGAGCGTGCCTGCGTGCTGAGTTACTTCAATAGTGTCCAACTCTTTGCAACAGTGACCTTTTGGACGGTAGCCTGCTAGGTTCCTCTGTCTATGGGATTCTCCAGGCAGGAAGACTGAAGTGCCTCCTCCAGGGGATCTTCCCGACCCAGGGATTGAGCCCGAGTCTCTTACGCCTCCTTCATTGGCAGGCCAGTTCTTTACCATCTGAGCCACCAAGGGAAGCCCTTTGTTTTCCAGAGGTCAAGCCAAATTTTGAGACATGTTTCGGTTTGAATTCTGGTTTCTGCATCCATTTAGTTGTTTAACCTTAGGTGAGAAATGTGACCTATCTGAGCTCTGGTTCCCTCATCTGAACCACGGGGTAACAGTGGTCCCTAACACTCGGAGTGACTGTGTGATTTACTGTGCATGCAAAGCCGTAGCTCCGATAACTCTAGTCTGTTACAGTAATCATGGGGTTTTCCTGGAAAAGCCCTAACCCAGTCTGCAGCACGTTGTGGCGTCCTCAAGCACCCACATAATGTCTTGCATTTAAAATGCTATGTAAGGCCTGTGAAGAAAAGGGCTCTAATTAGACCCAGGTCTCTTCTGGTCTTTGGCTGCCTGGTTCTTGAGTAAGAGAAAGATGGAAAAGCTAGTTATTTCACTTAAATGCCTATGTTACAGTCTCAACTGGGAAATCCCGCTGATTTATAGTTTATGAAAAGTCAGCAATAGATAAACTGTCCCCCTGGTGAGCATCCCATCATTTCATCAGTCAGTATTAAAGACGTATTAAGGGCCAAGCACTTTGAAAAACACCCTGATGCTGGGAAAGATGGAGGGCAGGAGGAGAAGGGGGTGACAGAGGGTGAGGTGGTTGGATGGCATCACCGACTCGATGGACATGAAAGGGAGGGGTAAGGTGCTCGGTCATGTCCATCTCTTTGTGACCCCATGGCCTGTAGCCCTCCAGGCTCCTCTGTCCATGGAATTCTCCAGGCCAAAATGCTGGAGCGGGTATCATTCCCTTCTCCAGGGCATCTTCCCAGCCCAGGGATTGAACCCAGGTCTCCCGCGTTGCAGATGAATTCTTTACCAGCTGACCCACCAGGGAAGCCCAATGGACATGGGTCTGAGCAAACTCTGGGAGATGGTGAGGGACAGGGAGGCCTGGCCTGCTGCAGTCTGTGGTGTCACAAAGAGTCAGACACGACTGAGTGATCAAACAGCACCTAGGTACCGGGAGCTCAGCCTAGAGTCGATACCAATAAGAAATAGGCACAAGGCCCGTGATGATGAGGGCAGCAGGAGGTGCTGTAGACGTTAGGGAGAGGCAGGGGAGGGAAGGCTTCCTGGGGCGAGTGATGTCTGAGCTGGGACCGGAAGGATGGGGCGGGCTGGTCCAGTCTGGGGCTGGAGAAGACTGTCCTCACGTGGCCAGAGACAGAAGGCAGGTAATCTACCTGACACCTGAGGGGGAGAGGTAAGGCTGCAGACCAGGGGCCACCCCATGTGGGGTTCTTAAGGTTTGGGGCTTGTCCTGCAAATTAGGAAGTTAGTGAAGAGTTTTTATTTTTTAACTTTATTAAAAAATTGTTTGTTTGTTTTTTTTTGGCCACACTGTGAGGCATGCAAGATCTTAGTTCCCAGACCTGGAGTCAGACCTGCACCCCCGGCAGTAGAAGCATAATGTCTTCACCCCTGGACTGCCAGGGGAGCCCCGGTGCAGAGCTTTTAAACATGCAAGTGGTGTGATTGTTTTCACAAAGCCGTACCGCCTCTGGAGAACATGATTAGAGAAGAGTGGTTGTGGCGCAGACGGGAGTCCCCATGGATTTGGATGGGGCTGAGGAGAAGCGAGCCGAGTCTGGAGATGTGGAGGGACTTCCCAGGGTCCAGGTGGATCCTGAGGTTTCCGGTAAATGGTGGGTATCGCCCCCGAGGGAAGACACACAGAAGGAAGAGCAGGTCGGAGGGGAGTTGGCGGAGGTGTGTGGGCCATTCACTTCCGACGTGCTGAGTTTCAGGTGCCAGCTGGAGATGCCGAGCAGGCGGAGCATCTGGGTCTGGAGCTCAGGTGAGAGGGACCTTAGCAGGAAGCGAGGTGCAGCGGCCCGAGACGGGGAAAGTAAACCAGAAGAGCCTGCCTCAGTGACTGGTCCTGCCTACTTGCATTTATTTAGTCTCATCTTTTTTGTTCCCTTTACCCATTTTTCCTTTTGTCCTATTTTTTTTTTTTAACCCCTGTGATTTCTTCCTCATGCACCTGGTCTGCCTGTAACCACTAGAGTCAATTTCTTGAACTGTGGTTTATTTATTAGTTACAGTAAATTAACTATGGTTAATTTATTAAGACATGAAGAGTCCTTTATAAGCACAGGTTGAACTGAACCCACAGACATTTCTTTGCTTCTCTGTGAGTCAAGAAGCCCAGAGAAGTTGCCATCCCTTGTTTGAGATGATCAGACTCAGAAACAGGCAGCTTCATCCGGCTGTGGGTATATAGTGAGAGTGATTTTTAACAGAAAGGAAGAGTGCTCTAGGTGGGAACAGGTTTGATCCCTAGAAAATGTCTTGCCCCCGGACAGGCTGTCCCACCATTTCCAACATTTTAGTACAGTCATGGTCAGAAAGCCCAAGAATACTGGAGTGGGTAGCCTCTCGAGTGGGTACCAGAAGGTATCCCTTCTCCAGCGATCTTCCCGACCCCAGAATCGAACCGGGGTCTCCTACATTGCAGGCTTCCCTGACGGCTCAGCTGGTAAAAAGTCCGCCTGCAGTGTGGGAGACCCGAGTTTGTTCCCTGGGTTGGGAAGATCCCTGGGAGAAGGGGATGGCTACCCACTCCAGTATTCTGGCCTGGAGAATCCCATGGACTATTCCATGGGGTCACAAAGAGCTGGACATGACTTTCACTTTGTTTTTTCTATTATGACAGTTATAAGGACAGTAATACCATTATAATGCTATACCTGGCAGTTTGATCTGTAGGGTGGTATTTTATTTCTTAAGCTGAATGTGTGATTAAATGATGTTTGTCAGCCTTCATAGTTTTTTTTGACCTTGTGAGATATTTGATAGTACATTAAGGAACTAAAAACTAAAAGGTTAATATATTTATATCCAGTGTAGTTAACGTGCATTGTCAACTTTTTCCTGAACCCACCGTATTTGAGCTGTGAAAAGTGGCTTTTTAAAATGGGGCGGGGGTGGGGGGAGGACTGCTGCAGGAAAACATTGCTGTTCGTGATAGCAACAGCCTCTCGGAGCTGTTGAAATTCCTTGCATGTCATTGAGTTTCATAGCACTGTTTTAAGAGAGGCTGTCAGAGTCTTCACAGAATGTAAGGGGAATTAGGAAAACTTTCTAATTATGAAAGTGTGTGTTATCAGGGTTTGATGGAGGTGGTGAGACAAGAGCATGTCACCCATGGGACAATGTGCCTAAAAGAATGTTACAGTCTAGAGTGAGATGGTCAGACCCAAAGACCTGTTTCAGAGCGTAAGCTGTGTGTTACCCCAGCTCACTGGGAATTTGTAAAACCAGGATGCTAGTCCTGTATGATGAGATGCAGAGTTCCGGTATCTCATCTAAGTTATGAAGAGGGCTCCGAGTGTGCGTGCCCTCTGGCTAGGCCAGGATTTCCCTGGAGGCAGGCCGTCTGGGAGCCAGAGCAGACCGGACATTGCTCCTCGAGCGTGGAATCAGAGAAGAGAATTTGCCCGGAAAGCCTTGCGTATATCTTCACACGGGGAGCGGCCGTGCCTCCAGGACAGGACGAGCTGCTCCAAGTCTCGGTGTCCCGTCTGGGGCGGCGCTGCCTCTGTCGGCCTCTTGAGAAGGCCAGCCTGTTTAGCGACTGGTTGAGACGTTTGCCAGTTGGGTTGGAAACC